TAGGAGGGCCTGTATACTGCAGACGGCAGTGGTGGTGACGCGGCTACGGAACATGGTGAAGCTGAGTAAGAACGCGATATCTTGGCGCCTGGAACAAATTGCAGTCTGTTCTTTTGGTTTTATGATACCGTCTTAAGTTGATCCCCTTTTTTGGTTGTTGCAAAATACCAGGTGTTTGAGCAGTTGATCTCACCCACTGAGTAACAGGCAGTGTGATGGGCCATGTTTTCGTTGTTGCGCAAAATGAATGAATTCTAGTGATGTGGAAAGTGAGAACGGATGTGCTTCAGGCCAAAAGGAGCCGCTGTTCAGGCATGGTTTAGTTCCATGGTAAAAGAGAAAGAGAGAATAAAATGAGGGAAAGGCAGGGAGGTTAACCAGAAAATGGAGCATCCGGTTTGCTACCCGCACTAGGGGAAGGGGAATGGGGAAGAAAGATGGCAAAGAAAGCGAAGAGAGAAATAGACGCGCGCAAAAAAAAAGGGGGGGGGGAGCTGGGGTGCTACAGTCTATACAATAGGCCGCTGCTACGCAAAAGGTTCAGTAAGGCCTTCACTGATTTTCTGTGAGCACACTGATCATGTCGTCTTTCCAGCACTGATTGTTCAGACAAAGGTCTGTCGTCAAGGCGAGCTAACGCAGCAGCTAGTTGCCGTCTTTGCACGCTGTAGCGAGGGCAGTGACAGAGAACGTGTTCTGTAGTTTCATCGCTGCCGCAATGATGTTTAAAGGAAGGTTATTAGCCTGAAGCGTATATCGACGGTTGGGCACCTATAGCCGGTCACGGCCTCATCTGTGCCACTGCCGTGTGTGCCCTATTCGGAATGAACTGCGGGGTGCCCCAGATCCCGTTATTGCCACATACAGCCTTAGGTCAAGAAGATGCAAGATGTGGGTCGCCTGAGTGCTAGCTCTCAACGAAAGACTTCGAAAGATAATGAAATACGAAATATATAACATCGCACCTGGCACGCCGTGGCGAACTCCATATTGATGCTTCACCAATGGCTTCCTCTCATGTGCTCCACCCTATGTTCCGCAGAATCCATACGTAATAAGCCTTACCTGCTTTATTCGATACACTGCTATAAAGTAATGTTAGTATTGACAAGTTGAGGAGCCTATTGGTTTAACAGTTGGAGAAAAAGCGAGGACTAGAGGCATGGTTGCAGTGGCCCTCTGTCAAGCTGCCTCCATACGAAGAGCAGTTATTTGTCCTGCAACTTTCCTTGATGCAAGTAATGATGATGAAAACGAACATTATTCAGCCGAAAGCCTTGAGTGCCCCGTTAAATGCGAAAATACACTATCATCAGCGGTAGTATCCCATTGCGTCAAAGTGAACACGAGTAATACAAAAATCATCATCACGTCACGACGTCACTACATGGATGGGCCGATTGATTGTGCAGTGCAAAACAAGGAAAGTACAGAAAGGTTTTCGGGAAGCGTAGAATCAATACATCGACAGCAAGAAGATGCCATCATGAGCGAATGAAGAAATGAATCTGAGTTGCTATTATTATTATTATTATTATTATTATTATTATTATTATTATTATTATTATTATTATTATTATTATTATTATTATTATTATTATTATTATTATTATTATTATTATTATTATCGACAATGTTGCGGCTGTTTTAACAGCGAAACTGTTCTAAGTCGATGCTTTCATGGTAACGCATGTTAAGCGGGTATGCGCCGCAGACATTGGTGAAATCCCACTGTACTCAGCACAGGTTCACTAAATGGGAAGAAGACCCCAAAAACAGGTGTCAGCCACAAATACGTGTCGCCTATGGAGAAAATATCGCGATTTTAACGTGTTTGTGCCACAAAACTTTTCAAATCCCGCTACACACCACTGCCGATAAAAGAAATGATGCAACAGTTAGTCCAACGAATGGCGCGCGCGTCACGTTAGCCACACCACCACTCGTAATAGTTTGTGGTTACAAGCGGTGAATAGCTTCGGAAAGCTTAACAAGGACTGTTTATAAAAGAGCGGCGATAAAACATGTCTGAATGATTCGCACGCCTTAAAAATGCACGACGAAGGGATGACCATCAGGTTTGTTGTTTCACCAGTGTGCGCGAAGTGAAGCTGGTTAATTTTTTTTTTAGTTCTTCGAGGACAGTGCCACTTTGGCGTCCATTCTGTCGCAGTGCTCATATATTCTCATCCTTCAAAGCTTTATGACTTTTGCAGTGGAACTGAGAGCTGCCAGAGTTGGTAGGAATTCATGTTTACAATTTTTCGTACCACGTATAGCAGACGGGGAGGACCAGGTTTGTACCTACTTTCTTTGTGTTCCTATAGTTTGTGCTTGTTACAGAAATTTTTAAAGATGAATTAATAACTCTCGCCACCCAAAATGAATTAAGGCCTAACGGAACTTTTTGCTTGCTAGTGGCCTATCGAATAGTCTACAACACTCTCGCTCTACATCTTTCTCTTGTTTATTTATTTGTTTTTTTGCGCGTATACTTTTCTCTAGACTTTCCTGTGCATCTTTCTTAACCCTTCTCTTCTGCGTAGCAAAGCGGATGTTAAAATTTTGGTTGACCTCTTTGTCTTTCACTTATTTATTTATTTATTTATTTATTTACAGTACCTTACAGAGCCCTCTAGGGGCATTGTGTAAGGGGGGCGGTACAGATAATATGTTAGAAAAATACATATACGTAATATTTATTTATTTATTTATTTTCATACCTCAAGGGCCTCCTAGAAGGAGGCATTACATGAGGGGTGGTACAAGTGACAGACTAGTACAAAAAACGAGGGTAGGGGTGAGGGGGAGGTGTGCTACCAACATAACTATATACAAGACCGTTACAACAATAAATGAGTGAAGAAGCATAAAAGAAACTATATGGCCGGACACGCTACATGTTTTACATTGGGACCAATCAGAGTCTAAACAGCTTGGATAACCGCGCTTTACTGCAATATCTACGCATACATAGGCAAATAATGAATATAATAGAAAATGCGGTTCTACTTATGAACATGTAAGCAAAATACATACTAGAAAAGTGAGTTACAGTATGTGAAGGTGAAATACAAAAATAACTATTATGACAGTAACTAGCAATAGTGCAAAAACATCGGCAACAGTCCTAGAAACACTGATGATTACGAAGATGCGATAGAGCAGTTTTTGGTGCATAAGTATTTTTAAGAGTATGATAGAACTTTGTGTGGTCTTGTTCTGACGCAAGATCATCTGGCAAATCATTCCACAAACGAATAGCTCGTGGAAGAGCCGACTGGTTGAAAGCGTTAGTATTGCCGTACATGCGTGATAAGCTAAAGGTGTTATGTAGTCTGCTCGAAGTTCGATGTGCTAGATTAAGGTGAACAGATGGCATCATGCTGGTGTGGATGCGTTTGTGAAATAGTGATAATAGTGAGATGTCGCGGCGAATTTTCAGTGGCTCGAGTGCAAGGCTATTTTAATCTGTGTTACGCTGGACGGGAAGCTGTGATTACGCGCTATGAATCGACTAGCTCTGTTCTGTATACATTCTAACTTACCTATGAGGTATTGTTGATATGGTGACCAAATGGAGGGTGCGAACTCCAGTTGAGGACGGATTAGAGCAAGATAAGCCAGTTTGCGCACATCAGAGGGAGCACTGTATAGATTTCGGCACAGAAAACCTAATGATCTTGATGTGTTGGCACAGATAGAATTGATATGTGTGGACCACGAAAGTGTAGCGGTTAAGTTTATGCTTAGGTATTTGTAATGATTAGTGCGTTCTACTATGCTATTATCAATTTTGTATTGGCTATTAAAGTTATCACGTTTGCGACTAAAGGTGATTACTTTGCATTTGGAAACATTAAGTGTCATCTGCCATGTTTTGCACCAATCAGTTATATGATCGAGGTCTTTTTGAAGAGTTAGATGATCGCTATTGTTTCGGATGGGACGATAGATAATGCTGTCATCGGCAAATATACGCATACATGAGGATAAGTTGTCAGGCAGGTCGTTAATGTAGATGAGAAAAAGTAAGGGACCAAGAACACTGCCCTGTGGTACACCAGAGGAAACGTAACAGAGTGATGAAGAGTGATTGTTGGCGATAGTGAACTGTTGGCGGTTAGTTAGGAAGTTTCTGAGTCATGTTAGCGTGAGTGAATCAAGGTTTAGTGATGACAGTTTTAATATCAAGCGACAATGAGCAACACGATCGAATGTCTTTGCAAAATCAAGAAATAAACAGTCTGTCTGTAGATTACTGTTCATGTTAGAATGTAGGCCGGTGGTGAACTCAAAGAGTTGAGTTTCGCAAGAATGACCCTTTCGGAACCCGTGCTGGTTTGAGAAAAAGACATTGTTAGATTCTAGATGCGCATAAATGTTAGAAGCTATGATATGCTCAAGAATCTTGCAACATATGCACGTCAAGGAAATGGGGCGATAATTTCCAGGTGAACTTTTACTATCACTTTTATGAACTGGCACTACCTTCGCTATCTTCCAGTCAGAAGGCAACATTACTGTAGCGAGCGACTGCCGAAAAACGTGAAACACGATATTGCCAGACACATAAACAGTGTTCTTTAATATTTTTGAATTGATATTGTCAATACCAGAAGATGATGACATCTTCAGATTTTCAATAATATTAGCTATGCCTTCAATTGTGATATCTATAGGTGACATGAATGAGTAATCGCGTTCAACAATTTCTGGAAGATGAGCATGCTCGCTAGTAAACACGGATGAAAAGAATGAATTAAAGACATGCGGACAATCAGTGTCGGCAAAAGGAGTGTTATTTGCATCGTGTAATGAAATGAAGTTATCGTCCCGATCAGGACTTATTACTTTCCAGAATTTTTTCGGATTAGATTTTAGGAGTGAAGGCAAATCCTGGGAATAGTATTTATTTTTCGCAGTTGTAATTTCGTGGCAATATTTCTTTAGGTTCTCTCTCACCGATGCCATCGATTGCTTGTTGACGGGGCACTCACCGACGTCGGCGACGAGGCTTCCCAGTTCCAGATCGCGCAGGAACTGATGAACGCGTGGCCACAGCCGGGGCCTGGCGAGCCGAGGCGCCAGCTGTTCGTACACGTCGTGCACGTAGGCCTTCTCGAGGGCGATGCATCGCGCGCGGCGTTCCTGCAGTTCCTCGGGGCTGCAGGGGCCGTCGCCACCGCCACTCTCACCGCGCAGCCGCATAGGGCGGCCCCTCCTAGCCTCTCAGCAGCAGCAGCACGGGCCACACGCCGCCATGCCCGGCGAGTGCGGCTTCACCGCACGCTCCCTACCTGTGCGCCGTAGGACAAAACACAAGCCACGAGTGAACGACAGTTTTGAGAAGAGCTGAGCAAGTCGGTATGTACTCTTCCTAAAATGCAGGGTGGGCAAACACAAGGCAAAAGTCACAAACGCCGACTAACAACTCATGATGCGCGGAACGGCGCATAAGAAATTTATGTGCGCATGCCCATGCAATATGCGAACCTATAAAGTTGGCACGCGTCAAGTTTACGTGAAAGAAAAACTGTCGATGCATTTGATTTCGCCTTTATGCAAGTTAATGGACGGTTGGCTCGGGAAGGCTGAGAACATGACGGAATGCTGAGATAACGTTCCCACGTATGGCAGCAGATATTCAATCTTCGGCTGCCCTCAGTTCGTGTGTTAAAGATTTCATATAGGCCGAAATGTTCATTTACGAGGCATACTAAAGGCAATTCCTGAATGAAGCAGGGCTAAATATTATTATAACATACGGGGCTATACGTGATAAAACCATAATATATTTATGAGACACGCTGTATCAGTACAAAACTAGCACCTGTTATAAACTTATTATGCGAAACAGGAACAAGACGCTCATAAACACATCAACTTTTTCGCCTCTGTTGTTTTATAATAACAGCCATATACGGGGTTTTACACGCCAGAACCGCCATATCATCATGAAGCACGCCGTAATGGATGGCTCCGGAAATTTTGATCATATGGTGTTCTGTGACGTGCACTTACAACACACAGTACACTGGCACCTATAATCTCGCCTTCATCGACATGCAGGGATCGAACCCACGACCTTCGAGCCGGGCACCACTGCTCCACTTAGCTGGACCAAGCGCTAAAAGAGGAACAACGAGAAACAGGGAGCACATTCTGGCCTCTTGTTTCTAGTTTCATGGCTCTTTTAACACGAAAGCGTTTTATACTGGGGTCCATCAAGACGTAAGTGACGTACTTCCATCACAGAAATGACCTCAATATATGACGTCTAGAAATAAGACGATGTTCCTTCCGTTAATGGGAGTCGAACATACGACCTCTCGGTCGGCAACATAAGCTGCCGGGAACGCTATCCACTGAGCACCGGTCACAAACTTTCTAAGCTATAAAAACACGCCTTTTATATCTTACAATGACCTCTCGCAGCACTCTCGGTAATGTGTAATAATGCATCATGACCGTGAAATCCACGATTAGTTCATTCACCGCGCTGCTTCTACGCGTCCGTCCTATTATGCGAGTTTCCAATAGGAGTGCTATTTTAAGCGTTAAAAAGCTTGTTTCGCAGAAATTCCGGCCTTGGCAAGTTTGTAGTTGCCAAGGGCGGAAAATTACATTGTGGTCACCTTTCCTCTGCATGCATCGCATAACTTCGATTTGAAAGGTACGTGGAATCTGCCGATTTTTTTATTTATGTTATCAATGCAAGCCAGATCAATGCAACCTAGAAAAGTATTTTCAAGTGTGCTCACTGCCGCCGTGACGTCACTCGTTTTGCCCGAGCAAGCACGCGTACGGGAGGCTGCAAATATACTGCCACCATCGTATCCCGTTAAAAGATAAAGCGTTCGCGGCGAGGTTTACAAGCTTAATAGCTTCATTATGCCTTTTGCGTCAAAGAAGGCGTTGGTTTAGGTAGTGTAATACGCTTGAAAGCGTTTGGAGATTTATCTGCGAGCCATTTATTTCATGAAAAAGTCAGACTACATGTGTGCTATCGAACGTCGATCTATGAGAGGAAAATTTGCTGGACCAACAAAGTGACGAAATAAAGAACGTAAATGTTATTCACCATTTATTTATTCAGACACGCACGCACGCGCACGCACACACACTATCTATTATGCAGAGAAACTGTTCCTAGTCCTTCACAAGTTTTCTGGAGTTTTATTTGTACGCGTTCGAACATCTGTCTTCATAGACACAAGGTTATGGAGGAGAGTGTGCTGCTGCCACAAGTATGTTATTCAGCACAATATCGGGTTGATGACAATTGCAAGAGAAAAAATATTTCGTTTCACAAAATTCTCTTGTGAGGGACACAAGGAGTGGCGTTCTTCTTTTGCTCTGGCCCCTCTTGCAGTGGTGCGTAGTCGCTCATATAAGTTAAGGCCTGCAAAAAATGTTAGTACTGGGTCTAGAATAATGCCCCCGTAGGCGCTTCTACTGCACTTCTGCTTCTTGGATTGGTATATTTTTGGTAGTGGTTCTGAAATATTCTAGCTTGAAGTAGAGCACGCACTTGAAAATCATTTAGGAAAGTGCTTTACCACATGTGCCTACACGCATCTAAATTTCAAGAAAACATATTTGGTTAAGGTGCTGACGAGACTTGTGCTAAAATATAATACCGCAATAAAGTGGTAGGAGCAGCGGCGAGAAAATACAATGCGCAAAAGCGATGCACTAAGCAATGTAACAGCATTCCTTCCATTTTCTCAACCAAGTAAACATAGTTGTAATACAAGAAGTCCATGGCACTAATCGCCAATAATTGCAAGATTTTTATCAACCCTGAAGGACTGACGCCTATTTTTAAAACGTACTGTTATGCGCGTTTATTAATTCAATGCGAGAGCGTCGCCAACAAGTCAGAAGCACAAATGACAACTTTATTTTAGATCAAGAACAGAACATAATAGATATGGTGCCATTGGAACGACTTAGAAATGTGTAGTACGGACACACGTACCTTCGTGTCGCGAAGAAAATTGATGTCAACGTCTGCTTGACGAACGACACACTCCCATTTCATTCTTTGGTAGTCCTTAAGAAACGAGAACACTCGCAACTTCTGTCCCTTTGCCACGCCTATTCGTCATGAAGCATCGCCCAACCGTTCGAATTTGCAGCCGTACACATTGCGAATATCAAGTGCACAAAGCGAATCACGTACCCATGCTGCAGTTCACGGACACAAAAAAAAAAGACGGTCTTCTCGAGTCGCAAACAAGCCCACCCGCATGCTACGAAAGCACTCGTCAGGCTTGACAATCCATGTCTGTCGAGCAACGAGAGCAGCGTAGGCACGTCTGTGCAACTAAACACACCAGTCTAAACAGAGTGACGTCAGAGGCCACGGCAGAAACAGTGAACAGGCCTGAAATTATCTAAGTGGAACTGGCCAAATTCGCCCGATCCAGCCGTTCATCCTCCTCTCCTCTACCCTTTCTTGTGGTACCCCATCCCTTATAGCCTTCGCGTGTGCTTTGTGGTCATGGGGGAGAGAGTCCATCATGCAGTGCCTCATTAGGGAAGCGATATAAAGTAATTTTTGTTCAGTTGTGTACAGATTAGTGGAGCGGTGTCTTGCATCCCCCATGTTTACAATATTTGCGGTCACGCTGACTCTGTATGAGATACGTTGTTAAGTGACAGCGTGTTATCGTTCATGGGGCTATGCGGGCAACGAATGGGGAAACGTCACTGAAACGCCCCTGCATGCGCTGTGATGCGGCTGCGGCGTTGCTTCGAGGATGGTTGATTTGCGGGGTTTAATGCCCCAAAACCACGATATGTTTATGAGGGACGCTGTAGTGGAGGGCTCCGGAAAGTTTAACCACTTGGGGTTCTTCAACGTGCACCCAATCTGAGCACACGGGCCTGGCGTTGCTTCGAGCCACAAAGAAGGAGCAAGAAGGAACAAATCGGACAGACGTATGATATTGAAGTGGGAAACACGCCTATCGTCTCTCCAGCGTAAATCGCCTGTTTTCTCAATGTAAGCATGGTGTCTATGACATAGTAGTTTAGCCGGTGGGCCCAAACACGCTGTTGATTTCTCAAAGAAGAATATACTCGTAATATGGCACGAAAATTTACATTGAACCACCCAAGTTTTTTTATTCCTATTTTCGAGTGTGTAGCTTTCTAAACACGTTATGATGCGAGAGAGCAAAACTGAAATCAACTTGAAGTTACCATGCCACTTGCGGAGCAACAAGTATTTGCGGAAGCCTCACCTCCATAACCTTCGCTCCAATGTCAACATTAGTTGTCGCATATCACAAGAGTAGCAACTCAACTGGTGATCAAGGCGATTGCGTACACGTTTAATCGGAGTGCGTTCTCACGACAGTCAACAAGGACTCACCTATTTCGGGGCTTTCCATTTATTGGCTGCAGACTAACCGGCCTCGCTTTTTACTGTCTGAGCGATATCGATTACGACCCCAAAAACAAACCGTATCGACCGATCTGCCGTATATACTAGTCGTCATCTCGCGCGCACGTCTCACGCATTCAGGAACGACGTGCCGGGCAAAGACTGCGAACATCCCACCCAGCCGTGTATTGATTGAAAGAGAGCCAACAGGCGAAGGGTACACCTATCATGAGTTTACTATAGTAATGCTTAAAGCAAATAGCCGCGTTTACTCGTACTTTCGTTGTTTTTGAGAGAGGATGCGTTTTAACGCGATAGCGCTTATGAGCTTGTTTACCAGAAATCCTGGCGTCAGCGTCGTCGGTTGTGAGCGGAAGATGTTCTTGTCCGTGACCAAAAGTCAAGAAGGACGCAAAATAAAATCGATAATGAAAGACTTCGGTCTGAGTGTGAATTGAACACAGGTCGTCTGCGTGTAAAGTAGGTTCTCTACCAGAGTGCCGAGGTAATGCTAGAAATTAATTCGAAGAAAAAAACACACAATAGGAATGTCATGCAGTGAAAGGAGTCTCTCTAACGTTCGTAATACTAACGTGGCAGAAGCGCACAAACACTCCAGGTGTCAAAACACGTGAATCGTGAAAGGAGAGGATGTGTGAGAAGGCCCACCCATTACGAACAACTCAATCATGTGTTCGAATCTTGGCTCACGGACGTGTCATGGGCCCTTAGCTGACTCGCAAAAGGAACAATTTCGGCGCAGCAATTGTACTTGCATTGAAAATGTATAGGATAGCTTGAACCAGCCCCTGTCACGTACACAGTCATTCGTTTTCTAACGAGGCGTTTACCGAGAACCTTATGTAGGCTAACAAATGAGAAGGCGATGTGCTTGGGGACCGA